AAAAAAAAAAAAAAAAAGGCTTAAAAATTTTTTTAACTTTTGCTTATCTAAAGACACTGTTAAGAAAATGAACAGGAAAGCCAGAGACTGAAAGAAACTATTTGCAGAACATTTATGTGACAAAAGACTGGTAACTAGGACTTATAAAGAACTCCTACAACTCAATGGTCAAAAAATTTGAAGAAACACTTCACACACACACAAAAAAAATACAAATGACCAAAAGGCACATAAAAAAATGTTCACCATCATTAATCATCATGGCAATGCAAATTAAACAGTAAGATACCACTAACCATCTATAAGAATAACTGAAGTTAAAAGACTGACAGACGTTTTGTTCGCAAAAATGTAAAGCAACTCGAACTCTCATACGTTATTGATAATATTTTAGAAAAAGGTCTAGCAGTTTCTTATAAAATGAAACATACTTATGTATATTTATGAACCAGCAATCCCACTCCTAAATATTTACCCAAGAATTGAAAGCAAATGTTCACAAAAAGATCTGTACACAAATGTTCATAGAAACACATCCAAAACAGTCAAAAAGTAGAAAAAAGCCCAGATGTTTATCAACAGAAGAATGTAAAAACAGAGGTATAGGTATAGTCAGAAAATAGAATGGTACTCAGCAATATAAAGGAACAAACTATTGATACAACAGCAACATGGATGAACCTTGAAACATTAGGCTAAGTGAAAAAAGCCTTACTGAAATGAGTGCTTACTATATATAAATCCATTTACAACCTCCATTTGTATAGAATAAGCAAGAGTAATCTAAAATTACAATAGTGGTTGCCTGGGGTTGAAGGAACATCTCCAAGAATCAAAGAACTTTCTAGGATGATGATAATGTTCTATGTCTTGGTAGGAGTTTCAGTTCTACAGGTACATACACTTGTGGGGCGCCTGGGTAGCTCAGTCAGTTAGGCGTCCGACTCTTGATTTCAGCTCAGGTCATGACCTCACAGTTCGTGGGATCAAGCCCCACATCAGGTTCTGCTCTGACAGTAAGGAGCCTGCTTGGGATTCTCTCCCTCTCTCTCTCTGCCCCTCCCCTGTTCACACGTGCTCTCTCGCTCTCAAAATGAATAAATGTTTAAACTGTTTAAACTAAAATATTTTAAAAAATATATGTATATATATACACACATTGAACTCATTTGCTATACAAGAAGTAAAATATACTGACATCTGCAACATACTTTGAAGTACAGCAAAAAATTAAGATGGTTTAATGAATGGATAGAGATGGATAGATGGATATGTGATAAAACAATGAATGGTAATTGAAGAATCTAGATGTATATACAGGTATTCACTGTATAATTCCTTCAACTTTTCTGTACTTCTGAACATTTTCATAATAAAATGTTGGGAACAAAATTTTAATTACGAGCTACTATATAAATAATATATACCAGGTGCTAAGTGACTGAGTGATTGCTATGTGAGAAGCACTATGGTGGATACTCACATATGTTATATCTAATCCCCACAACAATCCTGCGAGGCAAGTATTATCCCCATTTTCCAGATTGGGAACTGATACACAGAAAGTCTAAGAGGGGCGCCTGGGTGGCGCAGTCGGTTAAGCATCCGACTTCAGCCAGGTCACGATCTCGCAGTCCGTGAGTTCGAGCCCCATGTCAGGCTCTGGGCTGATGGCTCAGAGCCTGGAGCCTGTTTCCGATTCTGTGTCTCCCTCTCTCTCTGCCCCTCCCCCGTTCATGCTGTGTCTCTCTCTGTCCCAAAAATAAATAAATGTTGAAAAAAAAAAATTTAAAAAAAAAAGAAAGTCTAAGAAACTGGTCCTGGCCTCAGACAGCTACTAAATGGTAAAGGCAGGATTCTCAACCCAGGTCTGATTCCATAAGGGCTGCTCTTTCTACTACATCACACTACTTTAACAATAAATCTAAGAATTTGGCCAATGTTTTCATACTACTATGGAATTCTGTGTTATTTTTTTTCTAAGAATTTATTTTTAAGTAATCTCTATACCTCTATACCCAACATGGGGCCCAAACTCACAACCCTAAGATCAAGAGTGGCATGTTCCACTGATTGAGCCAGCCAGGCACCCCTGTGTTATTGGCTAGTAGTAGAAATAAGTGGGTTAATAGCAAGGACTTTGGAAATCAATGGCACTGTCCTTCCATTCTAATGGGATAGGATATAATATGGATGCTGCTATTCTTATCTCCTTTCAACAGTATTATGAATGTGTTTTGTGACACTAGACACGAATGCCAAAACCATGACACAATTTTCTCAAACAAAATTCTTTACCTCATTTCTCGTTCTTCATGTTGAGCGATAAGGTTGCTATAAAAATTCTCCAGTGTCACTTTGGTCATTGTCACCCTTTCCTTTGTGTGATTACTCATGGATGAGCAAGGTGTTGAGCCTGTCATTGCCATGGCTGCTAGAAACAAAAAAAGAAGAGGTATTAGTTTTGGAGTTAGAATCCATCAACTATCACTCTCCTATCACCCTGGTAGGAAAGTAAACTGGTACAAGTTTTCTGGAAGACAAACATGTAAATATATAACAAAAGCCACATAAACAGAATACTTGGTGAAAATAAGTATGTATCAATGTCCTATGACCCAGAAATACCATCTCTAGGTACAAGGCCTAAAGAAATTGTCACACATGCTCTTAAGGAGATATGCACAATGATGTGCATTAGAGGGGATGTTTATTATGCCATCTTTTGTGACATAGGAAGTTGAAGCCAATTCAGTAAGGAAATAAATAAAATGCTGTGGGTGCACATAAAGAAATAACATGCAGGGGCGCCTGGGTGGCGCAGTCGGTTAAGCGTCTGACTTCAGCCAGGTCACCATCTCGCGGTCCGTGAGTTCGAGCCCCGCGTCGGGCTCTGTGCTGATGGCTCAGAGCCTGGAGCCTGCTTCTGATTCTGTGTCTCCCTCTCTCTCTGCCCCTTCCCCGTTCATGCTCTGTCTCTCTCTGTCCCAAAAATAAATAAACATTGAAAAAAAAATTTTTTTTAAAAAAAGAAATAACATGCAGTAGTCAGAAGCAAATCTATCTGTACCTAAAAGTGACATGAATATCTTTAAAACATCTTGTTAATTTAAAAAAAAGGAAGAGAACAAGATCGTAACACCATAAGCGTAAATTAAGATATAATATAGACACGATATAATTCTTTGCCATCCAACAATCTACCTAAAAGAAATCAAAGACCCATAGGGATTCATACACAAGGAGACTCAATGTAGCAGTGTAATGGCAAAGGAAAACTTGAAATAACTTGAATATCCAACAACAGAACTGATTAAATTATTGATTTATGTGTTTACCAGATGTGCACAGAATTATTTGAAATACATATCAAAATGTTACCACCGGCTTAACTCTAGGCAGTAAGAACGCAATACATCATTTTATTCGTTTGTGCTTTTCCATAATTTCCATATTTTCTTCAATGAATATGTACTATTACTATTAAACTACAAATAACTTTTTTTAAAATTTACATTTATTTATTTTTGACAGAGAGAGACAGAGCACAAGTGGAGGAGGGGCAGAGAGAGAAGGAGACACAGAATCCGAAGCAGGCTCCAGGCTCCAAGCCGTCAGCACAGAGCCCGACACAGGGCTGGAATTCACAAACTGTGAGATCATGACCTGAGCCAAAGTCGGACGCTCAACCAACTGAGCCACCCAGGCGCCCCTAAATACAAATAACTTTTAAATCTGCCATTCCTATAGTTAAAAAAAACCTATGACTAAAATGCCCATTTATAGGTATTCATGTACTGACATGTCTTATGATATTAGATAAATGCTTGCTGTCTATTTGGATTTACAAATTAAAACAAATAACTGTGATAAAAAAACATCGTTACAAAGAAATAACCTGAATCATAATTTTAGTGATGGAAGAGATCTGAAAAACAAGGGACCCTAACCTCCTAGTTTTACATATGAGAAAACTGATACCAACAAGGTTTAAATAGTTTATAGAACATTTTTTCCTAAATTTAAATTTCATCCTCCACCCCCACCCCAGATATTTTTGCCAGCCCATATTGTCACACTCGGCCACACCATTCACCGATCTGGACCTCCTCCAGCATTGGCAATAATGTTCAGTATTTTATCCTTAGCATGCCTTCCTCCAACATGACTGCCTGCCTTTAGGTCTGTCCTTTCATCCCAATATAAAGTGGAGTAAAAGTAGGAGGGGCCAAGGGCCATTTTCAAAGATAGTACATTCTATGAAAAGTTTCCTTCAGGTTCCCTTTAATACTTAGCAGCTTTTTATTTTTTTTTTTAATGTTTATTTTATTTTTGAAGGAGAGACAGAGTGTGACTGGGGGAGGGGCAGAGAGAGAGAGAGAGAGAGAGAGAGAGACAGACAGAATCTGAAGCAGGCTCCAGGCTCTGAGCTGTCAGCACAGAGCCCGACGCGGGGCTCGAACTCACGGACCGCGAGATCATGACCTGAGCTAAGTCAGACACTCAATGGACTGAGCCACCCAGGCGCCCCATACTTAGCAGCTTTTTAAACTGTCTCGTGGATTAAAGCTATTAAGGAATGTGCAAATACTTACTATTACTAAGACAAAAGGCTTAACATTAAGCAACTTTATTAAAAAAAAATTCAGGGAAAATCATATAAAAGAATAATTCTTTGAGAGCAAAGTAATTCAAAATCAAGGCTCTACTTCAAATGTTTTTATTGATGATGTGCCAAATTCAAGTGAACTCAGCTCTACCTTATGTTATTTGTTATTATGTTATATTTTTTATGGGGAAGTTTCTGCTAATACCAAACAAAGAAAACGCAAATGTTTTTAGGATATCAGTAGATTTTTCAAAAACCTCTGGTTTATGAAGCTTGGGTGTGGTTCCTTATTTGTCAGCCTATACCCCCTCCACCCACAATGAAAACCACATGCACTCTAAGTCTGGTGAAGAAATTTTGAAACCAGATTTAAAAACAAGTCTGAAGTAAGGGAGTGCTTTGTACTCCTCCCTGGTCTGAACATTTCTGGAGACATTTTTATAAATACACAGATGTGGTTACATTTTAACAACTGAAATTATTTTAACATAGAAATGCAACTAGAAGAGTGTTTAAACCTAAGACAAAGAGCACCTTCCATATAATAAGTGGTTAATAAACATAAGTTGAGCAAGTTAATGATTTTTCAGTTGTCAACAAAATTAAAGAACAAAATTACATTTACATTGATAGGTATATAAATACTGGGGTGGAGAAAGTTTTGACTCATTTAAGTCACTGGCATGGCTTCCTAAGCTTTTAAAAAGATCAACAGGATATTAAGCGTACTCAAAGATGATCATATAATAGGCTAACAAATTTTCTAGCAGAATGATTTTCAACCTTCACATACAGTCTCTAATGTAATAGCAAAGATTGCACTATCCTTCCCTTTGACCTTTCTCCAAAACCTCCTCCTCCCCTTCCTTCACTCATAAAAGGATGAGCCTATTCTAATAACCTTTCATCAAAAGATACAATTACTATTGCCCTATAGCAATTTACAGGTTTACTGGGTCAACCAAGTACCTTTTAAGACAGAGCTTTCCCTTGTGCTTTTGACAATTCAAGCCTTCATGCCCTGACCTACAGACTACGGGAGGTCCCTTCCCTGTTTGTTTCATTCTTCAACTCTGCAGAATTAGGGAATAGGTAGGTGAGAAATTCTTAAAAGTTTTATTTATTTATTTAAATTTTTTTTTTTTTTTTTTTTT